TTCGATAATGCAAAAAAAATGAATGATCTTCTTTCTTCATCCTCCTCTTCCCTTCTCCATCATCTTCTTCTCTACCTTTTTATATCAATTTTTTTCCATTACTTGCACAAAATCTGCTTATTAATCTTTTTTCATCTATTTTTTCAATCTTTTTTAAATTACATGTAAATTGATCACACATACAACAACATTTTCATTTTGGACGTATATAGACAATTCATTTTTTATTCACCCAGACAATTGAAATTGATCACATAGATAACTAAAGTAGATCACAAAGACAACTATTGTACGTATGTGAGCTGCAAAACGATTGTCCGTGTGGTAAACATTATGTGTGCACCGGCAAATAATTGTCTGTGAGCCACAAAACTATTGTCTGTGTGGTAAATATTGTCTGTGTACACAGACAAATAATTGTATGTGCGCAGGCAAATAGTGTATGTGCACATAAGCATTGCACACATATAGATTGATTTGCACGCCAGTGTCAATGTCAAGCGGATGCCAGTGTATTTTTACACGAAAATTAATATCTGTGACACAGACAACTCTTATCTACTCATAGGTAACTCCGTATCAATTATATGTGACTGACTTTTATATACCAGTTGTGAACAGCTAGGGTAAAATTTCATTTTTGAAGTTGTTAAAGCCCTCAATTAGCATTTTTGACAAGTTAATAACGGTTTCCAGAATAACCTGTTCCCTCAATTCTAGTCACCTTACTATCTCATTATTATTGTCACTTACTTTCATGCATTTTTCAACTTTATAATTTATACGAAGTATATACATCCCTTACCCCGATTTTGACCATCCCCTTCCACAAACCAATTTTTCTACTACATATTATAAATATTTTTTAGCCCGATAATTATAGAATATTTTGAATTATTTCAATAGATATTTGTTAGATAAATGTTGCCACGAGTCATATTTTTTAGAAAAGACATTGTCTATATTACTCTGTATCTTTTATATGAATTTATTTGTTCAAATGGAGAAATCAAACATTTTTTGACAATAAAAATGGTCATAGACAGCGGATGTGATCGAACGGCAATGGCAATGGTTGAAGGTCGCCAAGCGCCCAAGCATGTCAAGGCCAATGGCGATAAAGTGGATATTAAAAACATAAAATAAGAAAATATACATACAACCTGTTGGTGATGTGGTTTCTCGACTTATCATCTGAATCGGTCTATCTTTTTCGCCAAACACGTCTTTTTTTATATCGTGCGCTGAATTGTGTATTAATCAAAATAAATAAATAAAGTTGAAGTTACTTTTCTAGTTGAATTAATTAAATTACTATAGTTAACCATTTTAACTATTTTTCATATAATTTTTCTCTATTTTATTAATAAAATATATTTTAAATAAAAAAATCATAATTCAATAAATCCGGTCAATTTAGCCAATATTTCATCAATTTCAGTATAATATACTAATTCATTCAATTTCAGTGACTTCTAATGCGATAGTGAGATAGTGATGAGGTAACAATGACGTGGCTAATTTACTTGAAATTTGATGTTAATATTCAAATACTAATTGAGTGTTTTTTTATCAAGCTTGTGTTTCTGACTAGTGTTTCTTAATTACAAGGATAGAACTTAAGAGTTGGATATTGTAGAAGAGCCTATTAATAATACTCCCTCCGTCCCGAAATAAACGTTCTGCTTTCCTTTTCGGTCCGTCCCAAAATAAATGTCTCACTTTTTAAACTTCCTTATTTGGTAAACAAATCTGTACCAAACAATGTCAAACAATGTCGCTACAATGCCAAAGAGTGTCAAACAGTGCAAAACAGTGTCGCTACAGTGCCTAACAGTGTCACTACAGTGCCAAATAGTTTGCAGTCAGATTCATTTTCTTAATCTGTGTGAAAGTCAAAGCGGGACGTTTATTTCGGAACGGAGGGAGTAATTTTCTACTCCCTCCGTAACATTCATATCTTCCCACTTTCCTTTTTTGGACGTAACATTTATATCTTCCCATTTCTAAATCTTCTCATCATACCCTCAATAATTTAAAAAATAATACACTACTACACCTACTTTTTTTGGAATTATCCTTCATTCCATCACATTATTTCGCCATCTTCCCATCATACCCTCAATAATTCATACCCCATTTCACTATTCTTAATCTCACCCACTTTGGAAGTGGGAAGATATATGTGATACGGAGGGAGTATAAAACTATAATCTATATCCTCCTCTATTCATTTTCTAGAAGTTGTAACATAGAGATATAGACGAGTAGACAAGGCCATCCCAAGCTTCCCAGAAAAAGTACTCTGTTTTGCTACACAGGTGTGGGATTGGTTGTTGGACTTGTCGTCGTAGGTTGAATTGGTCAGCACCATGAGATTTCAGGAAACAAAATCTATCCTCATATATATTTCCACCACTCATTTCATTTCAGTACTTCCTTTTCCTTCCCTATTGCTCATATGACCAAAAATACTCGGTTTCTCCAGTCAAACTTCAAGCGCTCTCATTTGGACTTCTTATTTCCCTTTTTGCCCATTTCTCTTCCACATTCCTTTTCGTGGCATATCAATCATTCAGTTCTAAAAGTGCCCTCACCTCCCTCAACTGGGTATATAAAGGAACACGTCTTTAAAAGTTTTCCTCCCCATCCAACCCAAAGACAATTATCAAATCACCTTACCCAGTGACCCAAACACAAAATGGATAGTTGGGAAGACAAAAAAGCTTTGATCACTGAGCTAACACAAGGGATGGAGTGTGCCAAACAGCTTAGATCCTATTTGCACTCCCAGCCTTCTCATTCTTCTGTTTCTTCTGATACTCATCGCTTTCTCTTAGACAAGATAGAAACTTCTTTCCAGATATTACTCTGTCTTCTCCATCCACCACCTTCCACTACTGCCCCTGAGTCTTCCATCTCTGTCGAAGGAAGCCCGCCAAATGAGGGCATCCACAAGAGCATGAACGAGTTCAGAAGTATGACGACGAAAAGGAGGTACCTTGCCAGAATACGATCAAGATTATTGAGATTCTTGTTCTAATAATTTCCACGTGATTTTACTTTCATAAGTGGACATTGATTAGTGTTGTTTTTCAGGAAGTTGTTGCCAACATGGACAGAACAGGTTAGAGTAGTTACTGATAATGGACTTGAAGGTCCTCCTGAAGATGGTTATAGTTGGAGAAAGTACGGCCAGAAGGACATTCTTGGAGCTAAATATCCAAGGTGAATTGATCAGTTAACATTCAAGTCTGCAAAAGAAGATTACGCATTAGTGCAGATAGAAGGGTCAAATTCTGATACAAAAATTCTTTTGGGTATAAAAAGAAAAATATGTTAAATACTCTCTTTCTCCCCCTAAACTCTTCTAAATTTGGCTAACAGGCGAAATAAGAAAGTAGAAAACAACCGCAATTACTTTTAAGGAAAGTTGTCAAAGTTTAGTGGGGCGGGGGAAGTATATGACTAAAATAAAAAGTATGAACAAAGAATGACCATGGAGTCATATTCTTTCCATGAGTTCTGTTTTATTAGTATTACAGGAAAAACCATTTAAAGGATGAACCTTTTTTGCAGAAGCTATTACAGATGTACGTACCGACAAATGCACAACTGTTGGGCCATCAAACAAGTTCAAAGATCTGATGGTGATTCGAGCTTATTCGAGATCACATACAAAGGGGCACATACATGTCGGCAAGTACCACCCAAGAAAAAAGAACTAGAACAAAACTCATACCACCACAATGATAGTCTCTCGATGCAACCAACAAGTCAGATGTTAACGGAATTCAGATCAAACCTGAGGGTCGATACTAATGACTTTGAAGGGAAGGAGACACTATCTGCTTTCTCCTTCCCTCAAACATTCCCTGGTGGATTAACAGATGAAAACCAGCAACAGTTCCAGATTTCACAGTATGACTTAGGGACTTACTCGCCCTCCTTTGCTTCTCCTACCACTTCTGAGTCAAACATCTTTGGTGCAGTTCAAAATTTTCACTGCTCTGAGTCAATAATTGAGTCACCAGACCTCAATGACATATTCTCAGCCACCACATCATCCACAAACTCTCCAAATGTGGGCTTGGATTACACACTTGACCTGGAAAATTGTGACCCAAACTTCCTGTTTGATGCCTCAGAGTTTTTCCAATGACCCCAGGCCCCATCTAGCCTAGATGAGGAAGAAAGAAAGAAAGAAAGAAAGAAAGAAAGACAGCGGTAGGCAGGGGAGTAATCATCAAGTTTGGCACTTTTGGCATATATAGATTTTGACTACAAAAGTACTTGTAAGAAATAAACAAAATTCTTTTTAACAATTAAATTTTGTATTAGAAATCGACTGTTTCGAGGACAAAAATACTCGAAACAGTCAGTTTTTCCTTTATTGTTGCTAATTTTTTAAATGTTAAGTCATTTTACGCCAGCCGTATAAACGAGCATATATTGCATTACTCCTCCTATCATGTTGGCTTTTTATGATTGAGCCAAAGTATTAATAATAGTATCAAAACCTATTAAGGTCAAATGAGAAATTTTGATCTTGGTAAGACTCAAGTTCTAATATCGTGTGATCTTCTAATGAATAACTCCATAAGTCCATATATTCTAATGTTACTATTCACTAAACATCCACACTAAGCTACACATCTATCTAACTCATCTTCTTCATAAAGTTTTTCTTAATACTTCAGCGATTTAAACCATAGAGGAATTTTCCAGAAATAATAGGAGTAAAAACAATGTGAAATTCTAAACTAGGAGTAGTATGGTTTCCATATTTCTCTCTTTCCTATCCATTTTACCAACACGCATGACTGGGTCATGTTTGTTACATCTTATATTCAATATCTTGATCACAAGGCGTGACAACATAAGCCCACAAAGAAAGAAGATTTAGCCCAAACCATGGATCACGAAAATAAGATACCATAAGTTGTACTGAAAAATATATTTCTACTTCCATTGATATGACACCCCAGTGATAAGGGGTCCCTGCTTTTTAATCAAAGGACTGTGGACTTGTGAACATACAACATCTCAATTGCTAGAGACAATTACAGCGATTATATAGAATTATAGATAAATAATGAACCTAAACAGCTAAACTCTGTAGGAACAGGAATCCAGAACTTCACACCTAATAGGAATAGAAAACTATAATACTGCAAAAACAATGAAAACTATATCTTTCTTTTGTACCTGAGACTTTAGCATAAATATTTGAAGGGATAGATGCCATTATATTGCACTCCGTACACAATAAGATACAACACGATCAATATACATCAAGGAAACCACAGAGCGGCTTTTTTAAGGTAATGTTTTTCTACCTTGCCATGATGTATAATAGCTATCTTAGATAATTGGATTATCTTCTTCTTTTGACTTCATAAAACCACTGGATTCAATTTCTTTCACATCTCTATTCTTCCTAAGAGCATCCCTCAGACCCAACACGATAAATATGTTTGTTAGGGTAAGCAGCGACTCAGCCCCTCCGTGCAACCAGTCCACATTGGATAGTGACGTCCCATATTCCACCTTTGCTGTTTCAGTTTCATCATCCCACTCGAGTCAGAATAAATAGTAACAGAAATTGAAATTCTTTAAAATATTATAAATCCAAAAGTGGGAGGATCTTACCATAAATGCCTGCCGGAACTGTATGGTGGCAGAGTTGAAGCATTGGAAGAACCACAAAATAAACTCTGGATCAGTATTACATCCAGTATATCGCTAATAGCAGATTGGAGAACTTAATATGACAAAAACTCTTCCAAAACAAACACGGGTTAACACTTCCTAAAAGTATTAGAAATTCCTAAATGCATCCAATTGTAATCACTCAAATGACAATGGAAAGATCCCAGCTTTTCAGTTAAAGCACAAAAAAACAAGCTTGTTAAATAAGATGCAATAGAATTTCTTACAGGACAATGTTGGAAATCAAAGTGGCAGGAAAAGATGCCTAGGGATAATGGTTAGAAATGTTTGTTTCTACCTTGGAAAATCAAATTCGATTAAACTTTTAAATTTTTGACATGTGTTTGCATTATATATTCCTTGAATCTTTAATTGTGGAAATATAAAGTAATTGAATTTTAACATTTTTTGGAGTAAATTCCCCGCAGTTTTCATTCCTTCCAATTCCCATTCTATTTTCATCCCTTTTGTTTTTTTACAGAAACTACCGCTATAACAAACTATTAATCCGTAAATCTTACTATCATCAAGAATTACACAGTACGTAGTATTATTTCTTAAATTTGATGCACATTAGAATAGAATTTATAAAATACAGAGTACAATATTGCACACATATGTATGGCTATAAATCTTCAATAAAGCACAGATTTGCAGTCAAAAAAAATCTTCAATGAAAAAACGGAAAGAGGAAATTACTAGTGGCGCCGACGAAAGCAAGCAAAAAGTAGAAGCCAAAGAGGGTGAGCTTGGGGGCAGTATTGGACTTGGTGATGAAATACAAAAAACCGAGGTAAGGGAAGAGGGAGACAGCGAAGAGCTGAGAAGCTATGCTCTGAGAATCAATAGTGGGCGCCCATGGATCCACCGGTAACAGGAACCCTTGACACACCACGACATTTCTCCATCCCTTCTTCCTCATTAAGCCTTCCCCATTGCAATTGAGCTTATTGGCTTCTCTGCTCTTCCAGGGACCCGTTTGGAAACGGCGGGAGAAAGCCATAGTAGTTGAGTTCTTCCAAACGGGTCCTTGCACACAGTAGTGTATCATCATTTTTCCGTTATGCCTTCTCTCCTTGGCTTTCAGCTTTTCAGCCCCATCCGGTGAAGAGGTTCGTCTGTGATTGGAATCAAATGGTGGTACGTACTAGGTAGATTTGTAATTATTTTAAAATTTTCAATACCCGTATTTTGACGGATACAGGCATCAACTTTTTTAAAAAAACACTCAAAATTTACATAATAAAATTCTCAAAAAATGAAAAACTAAAAATAAATTTTACATTATCCAAGATGCTTCGGTGCAAATTTTGTATTAGAACTTTTAGTTTTTATATTAGAATATTGTTTTCTCTCTCCTTTATCCATGAATTTTGAATACTTACACTTTTAAATCCAAAACTGTCATTGTTTGACTTGTATCTCATTTTAAATTTATGACTATTGATTATGTTTATATTTCGAGAAACACTAGTGTATATGAGATAAAATATGAATTTACTTCTAATCATTTTATAATGTGAAATGTTTGAATGCCAGGACAGCGGTCAAAGGATAATATATTAATATATTTTCAAAAAATTTGAAAATTCTTAATATTTATAAATAGACCCTCATAATTTTAATATTTATAAATACAACCTCATAATTTTTATTATTTGTAAATATACCCCTCTATCCGTATCCTACTTTTTTTTGTTTTTGTAGTATCCTCGTACCCGTTTCTGTGTTTCCGCGTTTTCGTGTACCCGTATCGGTGCTACATAGCTCCTTCCCCATAAATTATGTAAACTTTGCTATTTTCCTTTTTTATTAAAAAAATTCGGATTCTTATTAATTCACTCTCATGTGCACAATCTTAATCACAATATTTTAATTTTATTATTTTTCGTATCGATGAAACTTGATCAAGTTTTATGGAACAAAGGGAGTGAACAAAAATTCTTCTTCTACTTTTTTTTTGTACATATCATCTTGCACATGTTGTGAGCAACTCTTTTTTAACTAGAACAAAATAAAGGCATCTTGCACATGTTGTGAGCAATTCTTCTTCTTCTACATGTTATTGAGCATCTCTCTGTTTGCATTGTGGACCTCATTAAAGGCATAACATTATCCAGTAACAGTTAGATAACATTTAACTAGAACAAAACTTAAACCTGAGCGTAAATGCTTAAACTATAGTTTCAAAATAAATTTTAACAATCTGCTGTAAATTATGATGATAATTAAGTTATCATTACAAATAGACTTTACCAGCTCTTCCAAATAGAATTATCCATTTGAATTGTTGACAACTATAACCCCCGTACCCTTTTGCATGATAGATGGAAAACTGTACATGCACAAATTGTGAAGCTATATCTTTTTTTTTTTTTCTTGTGGAGCTATATGTTAACATGTGTCATGTTCCTTTCAAATAATCCTGGTAACTCAAGAAAAATAAAATCAACTAGCCAATGCTTTTATAGGATATGCACTATTCAAGAGTGTACATAAGTTACACTAAGAAGTAAGAAACCATTTCTTTAAAAGGATTTCACAAATGCAAACAGAGAGATGCTCAATAATTGATTTAAATTGGATAAACTTGCCTCAAATTTAGAATAAACAAGCATAATCATGACTGATAAAAACTCGCATTAGACGGGAAGATGAGATCTTTTTTTTATTTTCCCTTGAAGTAATGTAATATTGACAATTTCCAGAGTCCTGCATGAGTTTAACAAAAAAAATTACCATAGAAAACTCATTTTCTTAACATACTGTTGCAAATCCTGAAGCAAGTAAAGTTATTATTACTATATCAGACTGAGGATTCTAAGTCAAAAGGTAAAGTGAAGGTGACAAAAGGGGCCAAAGTTCTGCCAAGTTTTTCTGGAGATCGAGATGTTCTAGTCAATGGGAGCTTATTAGCTGCAGGTAACAATTTTAATATGAACACCACATGAGTACCATGCCTTTTCTATTGCATTTTCTCTTGTGAGATATGAAACCTAGTTGGGATCCAAGCTCAAACAAATGAAATAAAGGAAAAAATCGAAGGCTGACATTAAATTGCAGCACATGTTGTAACACTAATCAAGTACACTACAAACACAAAGGAAAATCAGATGCCATTCCATTAAATTTCGCCTAGAATCATTAAGGTGGTTTTGAAGCATCAAATTTATATTCCGTAGATCGATCATCGACACAAATTAGATGATTAGCTAAGTTTCAATAAAAGATCTATATCAATTCAGATACCTCTCTGTAAATGGAATGGGAAAATAGTGTATACCTCACCGTTGAGGTTAATCTCGGAAAACTCTGATCGATGTTCTACGATGCTACTTTGAATGTGATGCCAGTCGAAGAAGATAATTGAGCTGGTTTCTCCTAGAAGTGCAGGGAGGGCAGAAGAGTAATAGTTTGCTCGTCGATCGGAAGCTATAGTCGTCACAGGCATAGGCAGCGGACATGATTTGATCTAAGGAACTTGGTGAGACTTATTTGGATGAATTTACCTATGTATTTCTAAGAATAAGATAGACTGGGAAGAAGATGATGCGAGACAACTTGCTGGGAGCCTGGGAGATGGATACTCCATCTTCGGATTGAAATCGGCTAGTGCGAAGCTTGAATTAATGGCGTCCAACATTGATCTCCAGAGTCCCAGACAGCTTCGATCTGAATGAATCTCGGGAATAGGTTTTAGTTGGTCTGAGATAGCCGATAGGGGAGGAAACGGCGATATGAAACGGAAAGGAGGGGTGGGAAGAAATCAAGTCTAAAAGTGAAATAAAAAATCAATATTGAAAAGAGAAAAGTTAAAAATGAAAAGAAAGATCAACTAAGCCATATATGATATCTTTCACCCAAAAATAGACTATACGGGTAATTTGCACAAAAAATATCTTATCCCCCCTCCCTTCTCTCTCCCTTCTTTCTTCCCTCTCTCACTCCTCTCTTTCCTCTTTACCAGCCCCTTCGATAATGCAAAAAAAATGAATGATCTTCTTTCTTCATCCTCCTCTTCCCTTCTCCATCATCTTCTTCTCTACCTTTTTATATCAATTTTTTTCCATTACTTGCACAAAATCTGCTTATTAATCTTTTTTCATCTATTTTTTCAATCTTTTTTAAATTACATGTAAATTGATCACACATACAACAACATTTTCATTTTGGACGTATATAGACAATTCATTTTTTATTCACCCAGACAATTGAAATTGATCACATAGATAACTAAAGTAGATCACAAAGACAACTATTGTACGTATGTGAGCTGCAAAACGATTGTCCGTGTGGTAAACATTATGTGTGCACCGGCAAATAATTGTCTGTGAGCCACAAAACTATTGTCTGTGTGGTAAATATTGTCTGTGTACACAGACAAATAATTGTATGTGCGCAGGCAAATAGTGTATGTGCACATAAGCATTGCACACATATAGATTGATTTGCACGCCAGTGTCAATGTCAAGCGGATGCCAGTGTATTTTTACACGAAAATTAATATCTGTGACACAGACAACTCTTATCTACTCATAGGTAACTCCGTATCAATTATATGTGACTGACTTTTATATACCAGTTGTGAACAGCTAGGGTAAAATTTCATTTTTGAAGTTGTTAAAGCCCTCAATTAGCATTTTTGACAAGTTAATAACGGTTTCCAGAATAACCTGTTCCCTCAATTCTAGTCACCTTACTATCTCATTATTATTGTCACTTACTTTCATGCATTTTTCAACTTTATAATTTATACGAAGTATATACATCCCTTACCCCGATTTTGACCATCCCCTTCCACAAACCAATTTTTCTACTACATATTATAAATATTTTTTAGCCCGATAATTATAGAATATTTTGAATTATTTCAATAGATATTTGTTAGATAAATGTTGCCACGAGTCATATTTTTTAGAAAAGACATTGTCTATATTACTCTGTATCTTTTATATGAATTTATTTGTTCAAATGGAGAAATCAAACATTTTTTGACAATAAAAATGGTCATAGACAGCGGATGTGATCGAACGGCAATGGCAATGGTTGAAGGTCGCCAAGCGCCCAAGCATGTCAAGGCCAATGGCGATAAAGTGGATATTAAAAACATAAAATAAGAAAATATACATACAACCTGTTGGTGATGTGGTTTCTCGACTTATCATCTGAATCGGTCTATCTTTTTCGCCAAACACGTCTTTTTTTATATCGTGCGCTGAATTGTGTATTAATCAAAATAAATAAATAAAGTTGAAGTTACTTTTCTAGTTGAATTAATTAAATTACTATAGTTAACCATTTTAACTATTTTTCATATAATTTTTCTCTATTTTATTAATAAAATATATTTTAAATAAAAAAATCATAATTCAATAAATCCGGTCAATTTAGCCAATATTTCATCAATTTCAGTATAATATACTAATTCATTCAATTTCAGTGACTTCTAATGCGATAGTGAGATAGTGATGAGGTAACAATGACGTGGCTAATTTACTTGAAATTTGATGTTAATATTCAAATACTAATTGAGTGTTTTTTTATCAAGCTTGTGTTTCTGACTAGTGTTTCTTAATTACAAGGATAGAACTTAAGAGTTGGATATTGTAGAAGAGCCTATTAATAATACTCCCTCCGTCCCGAAATAAACGTTCTGCTTTCCTTTTCGGTCCGTCCCAAAATAAATGTCTCACTTTTTAAACTTCCTTATTTGGTAAACAAATCTGTACCAAACAATGTCAAACAATGTCGCTACAATGCCAAAGAGTGTCAAACAGTGCAAAACAGTGTCGCTACAGTGCCTAACAGTGTCACTACAGTGCCAAATAGTTTGCAGTCAGATTCATTTTCTTAATCTGTGTGAAAGTCAAAGCGGGACGTTTATTTCGGAACGGAGGGAGTAATTTTCTACTCCCTCCGTAACATTCATATCTTCCCACTTTCCTTTTTTGGACGTAACATTTATATCTTCCCATTTCTAAATCTTCTCATCATACCCTCAATAATTTAAAAAATAATACACTACTACACCTACTTTTTTTGGAATTATCCTTCATTCCATCACATTATTTCGCCATCTTCCCATCATACCCTCAATAATTCATACCCCATTTCACTATTCTTAATCTCACCCACTTTGGAAGTGGGAAGATATATGTGATACGGAGGGAGTATAAAACTATAATCTATATCCTCCTCTATTCATTTTCTAGAAGTTGTAACATAGAGATATAGACGAGTAGACAAGGCCATCCCAAGCTTCCCAGAAAAAGTACTCTGTTTTGCTACACAGGTGTGGGATTGGTTGTTGGACTTGTCGTCGTAGGTTGAATTGGTCAGCACCATGAGATTTCAGGAAACAAAATCTATCCTCATATATATTTCCACCACTCATTTCATTTCAGTACTTCCTTTTCCTTCCCTATTGCTCATATGACCAAAAATACTCGGTTTCTCCAGTCAAACTTCAAGCGCTCTCATTTGGACTTCTTATTTCCCTTTTTGCCCATTTCTCTTCCACATTCCTTTTCGTGGCATATCAATCATTCAGTTCTAAAAGTGCCCTCACCTCCCTCAACTGGGTATATAAAGGAACACGTCTTTAAAAGTTTTCCTCCCCATCCAACCCAAAGACAATTATCAAATCACCTTACCCAGTGACCCAAACACAAAATGGATAGTTGGGAAGACAAAAAAGCTTTGATCACTGAGCTAACACAAGGGATGGAGTGTGCCAAACAGCTTAGATCCTATTTGCACTCCCAGCCTTCTCATTCTTCTGTTTCTTCTGATACTCATCGCTTTCTCTTAGACAAGATAGAAACTTCTTTCCAGATATTACTCTGTCTTCTCCATCCACCACCTTCCACTACTGCCCCTGAGTCTTCCATCTCTGTCGAAGGAAGCCCGCCAAATGAGGGCATCCACAAGAGCATGAACGAGTTCAGAAGTATGACGACGAAAAGGAGGTACCTTGCCAGAATACGATCAAGATTATTGAGATTCTTGTTCTAATAATTTCCACGTGATTTTACTTTCATAAGTGGACATTGATTAGTGTTGTTTTTCAGGAAGTTGTTGCCAACATGGACAGAACAGGTTAGAGTAGTTACTGATAATGGACTTGAAGGTCCTCCTGAAGATGGTTATAGTTGGAGAAAGTACGGCCAGAAGGACATTCTTGGAGCTAAATATCCAAGGTGAATTGATCAGTTAACATTCAAGTCTGCAAAAGAAGATTACGCATTAGTGCAGATAGAAGGGTCAAATTCTGATACAAAAATTCTTTTGGGTATAAAAAGAAAAATATGTTAAATACTCTCTTTCTCCCCCTAAACTCTTCTAAATTTGGCTAACAGGCGAAATAAGAAAGTAGAAAACAACCGCAATTACTTTTAAGGAAAGTTGTCAAAGTTTAGTGGGGCGGGGGAAGTATATGACTAAAATAAAAAGTATGAACAAAGAATGACCATGGAGTCATATTCTTTCCATGAGTTCTGTTTTATTAGTATTACAGGAAAAACCATTTAAAGGATGAACCTTTTTTGCAGAAGCTATTACAGATGTACGTACCGACAAATGCACAACTGTTGGGCCATCAAACAAGTTCAAAGATCTGATGGTGATTCGAGCTTATTCGAGATCACATACAAAGGGGCACATACATGTCGGCAAGTACCACCCAAGAAAAAAGAACTAGAACAAAACTCATACCACCACAATGATAGTCTCTCGATGCAACCAACAAGTCAGATGTTAACGGAATTCAGATCAAACCTGAGGGTCGATACTAATGACTTTGAAGGGAAGGAGACACTATCTGCTTTCTCCTTCCCTCAAACATTCCCTGGTGGATTAACAGATGAAAACCAGCAACAGTTCCAGATTTCACAGTATGACTTAGGGACTTACTCGCCCTCCTTTGCTTCTCCTACCACTTCTGAGTCAAACATCTTTGGTGCAGTTCAAAATTTTCACTGCTCTGAGTCAATAATTGAGTCACCAGACCTCAATGACATATTCTCAGCCACCACATCATCCACAAACTCTCCAAATGTGGGCTTGGATTACACACTTGACCTGGAAAATTGTGACCCAAACTTCCTGTTTGATGCCTCAGAGTTTTTCCAATGACCCCAGGCCCCATCTAGCCTAGATGAGGAAGAAAGAAAGAAAGAAAGAAAGAAAGAAAGAAAGACAGCGGTAGGCAGGGGAGTAATCATCAAGTTTGGCACTTTTGGCATATATAGATTTTGACTACAAAAGTACTTGTAAGAAATAAACAAAATTCTTTTTAACAATTAAATTTTGTATTAGAAATCGACTGTTTCGAGGACAAAAATACTCGAAACAGTCAGTTTTTCCTTTATTGTTGCTAATTTTTTAAATGTTAAGTCATTTTACGCCAGCCGTATAAACGAGCATATATTGCATTACTCCTCCTATCATGTTGGCTTTTTATGATTGAGCCAAAGTATTAATAATAGTATCAAAACCTATTAAGGTCAAATGAGAAATTTTGATCTTGGTAAGACTCAAGTTCTAATATCGTGTGATCTTCTAATGAATAACTCCATAAGTCCATATATTCTAATGTTACTATTCACTAAACATCCACACTAAGCTACACATCTATCTAACTCATCTTCTTCATAAAGTTTTTCTTAATACTTCAGCGATTTAAACCATAGAGGAATTTTCCAGAAATAATAGGAGTAAAAACAATGTGAAATTCTAAACTAGGAGTAGTATGGTTTCCATATTTCTCTCTTTCCTATCCATTTTACCAACACGCATGACTGGGTCATGTTTGTTACATCTTATATTCAATATCTTGATCACAAGGCGTGACAACATAAGCCCACAAAGAAAGAAGATTTAGCCCAAACCATGGATCACGAAAATAAGATACCATAAGTTGTACTGAAAAATATATTTCTACTTCCATTGATATGACACCCCAGTGATAAGGGGTCCCTGCTTTTTAATCAAAGGACTGTGGACTTGTGAACATACAACATCTCAATTGCTAGAGACAATTACAGCGATTATATAGAATTATAGATAAATAATGAACCTAAACAGCTAAACTCTGTAGGAACAGGAATCCAGAACTTCACACCTAATAGGAATAGAAAACTATAATACTGCAAAAACAATGAAAACTATATCTTTCTTTTGTACCTGAGACTTTAGCATAAATATTTGAAGGGATAGATGCCATTATATTGCACTCCGTACACAATAAGATACAACACGATCAATATACATCAAGGAAACCACAGAGCGGCTTTTTTAAGGTAATGTTTTTCTACCTTGCCATGATGTATAATAGCTATCTTAGATAATTGGATTATCTTCTTCTTTTGACTTCATAAAACCACTGGATTCAATTTCTTTCACATCTCTATTCTTCCTAAGAGCATCCCTCAGACCCAACACGATAAATATGTTTGTTAGGGTAAGCAGCGACTCAGCCCCTCCGTGCAACCAGTCCACATTGGATAGTGACGTCCCATATTCCACCTTTGCTGTTTCAGTTTCATCATCCCACTCGAGTCAGAATAAATAGTAACAGAAATTGAAATTCTTTAAAATATTATAAATCCAAAAGTGGGAGGATCTTACCATAAATGCCTGCCGGAACTGTATGGTGGCAGAGTTGAAGCATTGGAAGAACCACAAAATAAACTCTGGATCAGTATTACATCCAGTATATCGCTAATAGCAGATTGGAGAACTTAATATGACAAAAACTCTTCCAAAACAAACACGGGTTAACACTTCCTAAAAGTATTAGAAATTCCTAAATGCATCCAATTGTAATCACTCAAATGACAATGGAAAGATCCCAGCTTTTCAGTTAAAGCACAAAAAAACAAGCTTGTTAAATAAGATGCAATAGAATTTCTTACAGGACAATGTTGGAAATCAAAGTGGCAGGAAAAGATGCCTAGGGATAATGGTTAGAAATGTTTGTTTCTACCTTGGAAAATCAAATTCGATTAAACTTTTAAATTTTTGACATGTGTTTGCATTATATATTCCTTGAATCTTTAATTGTGGAAATATAAAGTAATTGAATTTTAACATTTTTTGGAGTAAATTCCCCGCAGTTTTCATTCCTTCCAATTCCCATTCTATTTTCATCCCTTTTGTTTTTTTACAGAAACTACCGCTATAACAAACTATTAATCCGTAAATCTTACTATCATCAAGAATTACACAGTACGTAGTATTATTTCTTAAATTTGATGCACATTAGAATAGAATTTATAAAATACAGAGTACAATATTGCACACATATGTATGGCTATAAATCTTCAATAAAGCACAGATTTGCAGTCAAAAAAAATCTTCAATGAAAAAACGGAAAGAGGAAATTACTAGTGGCGCCGACGAAAGCAAGCAAAAAGTAGAAGCCAAAGAGGGTGAGCTTGGGGGCAGTATTGGACTTGGTGATGAAATACAAAAAACCGAGGTAAGGGAAGAGGGAGACAGCGAAGAGCTGAGAAGCTATGCTCTGAGAATCAATAGTGGGCGCCCATGGATCCACCGGTAACAGGAACCCTTGACACACCACGACATTTCTCCATCCCTTCTTCCTCATTAAGCCTTCCCCATTGCAATTGAGCTTATTGGCTTCTCTGCTCTTCCAGGGACCCGTTTGGAAACGGCGGGAGAAAGCCATAGTAGTTGAGTTCTTCCAAACGGGTCCTTGCACACAGTAGTGTATCATCATTTTTCCGTTATGCCTTCTCTCCTTGGCTTTCAGCTTTTCAGCCCCATCCGGTGAAGAGGTTCGTCTGTGATTGGAATCCAATGGTGGTACGTACTAGGTAGATTTGCAATTATTTTAAAATTTCGAATACATGTATTTTGCCGGATACACGCATCAACTTTTTAAAAAATCATTCAAAGTTTATATAATAAAATTCTCAAAAAATGAAAAACTAAAAATAAATTTTACATTATCCAAGATGCTTCAATGCAAATTTTGTATTAGAACTTTTAGTTTTTATATTGGAATATTGTTTTTTATCTCCTTTATCCATGAATTTTGAATACTTACACTTTTAAATCCAAAACTGTCATTGTTTGACCTGTATCTCATTTTAAATTTATGACTATTGATTATGTTTATATTTCGAAAAACACTAGTGTATATGAGATAAAATATGAATTTACTTCTAATCATTTTATAATGTGAAATGTTTGAATGCCATGAATGGACAGCGGTCAAAGGATAATATATTAATATATTTTCAAAAAATCTGAAAATTCTTAATATATATAAATAGAACCTCATAATTTTGATATTTATAAATACAACCTCATATTTTTTATTGTTTGTAAATATACCCCTCTATCCGTATCCTACTTTTTTTGTTTTTGTAGTATCCTCGTACTCGTTTCTATGTTTCCGCGTTTTCGTGTATCCGTATCGGTGCTATATAGCTCCTTCCCCGTAAATTATGTAAACTTTGCTATTTTCCTTTTTTGTTAAAAAAATCGGATTCTTATTAATTCACTCTCATGTGCACAATCTTAATCACAATATTTTAATTTTATTATTTTTCGTATCGATGAAACTTGATCAAGTTTTATGGAACAGAGGGAGTGAACAAAAATTCTTCTTCTACATTTTTTTGTACATATCATCTTGCACATGTTGTGAGCAACTCTTTTTTGCCTGTGAGTATAGTAGCCCCATATCAGTGTACAACAATGAGTGATGTTTCTTTTTTCAAATATGAAAAAACTAGTGTACACACTTTTTGTACATACCATCTTATACACGACTGTTAGCAGTTATTTTTTTGTGTGTGAACAACTATTGATAGACAAAAATAGTTGCTCACAGACGTGTGTAAAATGATTCTGTACAAAAAAGTGTGTACAAATACTTTCTTTTAGAACTAAGGTGATTGAAAGTCAAATTTGTCTAGTAAAACTTGTCTTCTTTTCAGAGCTGTGAAGTGGGGTGTTTTCTAGATTTACGGGAGTTTGGTGCCGACAAGGCAAAAATACGGGCTTTTTTATGGGATTTCTGAGATTACGGGAATTGGGTATATTTCACAAAAGCTTCTGATTATAGGTATCTCTGACAATGTGTTTTATTTACTTTAACTTCGATTTTCTCCCTTAGTGTTATTGTTATTATTTACTTTATTTATTAATAAAAAATCACTTGGTTTTTGTACGGACCACAAGTTTTGTTATGAAAAAATTCCCTTAATAGGAGTAAAAACGTTTTGAAATTTTAAAATATGACTATCATATTTTTTTATTTCTGAATAGGAGTAAAGTAAATTTCTTCCAAGTTTGGCATTACTAGACTTTAAACATGACATTTCTTCCCAAACTTGGCAGATTACTCTTATTCAGGGGATAAAAATCATGATAGTCCTATTTTGGAATTTCGAAACGTTTTACTGCTATGTAGGGCAATTTCTGTTTTGTTATTACTCCACAGTTAACATTTAATATTTACTCCACATTTAACATTTGATATTCCTCAAATATTTGTACATAATTGTCTGTGTAAATAGGCAATGCAGCACGAGCAGCATGTGTACACTATACTAGTGGGTGTACACAGACAATACCGTATAAATGTATCCAAATTGTGTACAAAATGAGTGTATAAATAGTTTTTTTCTTATCAGTTTTATAATTTCATATTATTTGTTCTTTATTCTATTAATAAAATATATTTCTTATGTAATTTTTTAAAATTCAACAGATTCAGGCATTCAGCCAAATTTTAATCAATTTCAACAGAATCATCATATTCAATCAAACTAAATAATTACATATTTATGACTAAAATAATAATCATGATATATAATAACTAAAATAAAGATGGTTGAAAAATATGTGGCATCTTAAGTGTAATGACTATAGTTGTAACGTTCAGCGACTATTTTTATGATCAAGTTTTACACTTTAGTGACTATGATGTTATACTCATAGTAACTGTAATCATATTTTTGTTATTACTTTCATAATATATTTAGAAAAGCCCACTACATAAAGATTGTTTTAAAAAATGTGACATCTTATTTGTAGTAATTATACTAGTAATTTAGTTATAATAACTTATGTTCAATTTGTACACTTAAATTACTATGAAGCTACTATAATAATTACACTGTATATTATTAGTCATATTTTTGTAAATAAGTTCTAATTCGCTAATTTTTTTTAAAGAACTTATTTTCACAGATTAATAATGAGATATTTAATATTCCAGTTTAACTAAATTTCACTTATATTACTCGTATTGTCTATTCCTAAACAAACGGAACAAAAAAATTCATTTAAATGTAATGGAAGATAACATGTTGGGACAAACATGTTTAGTTGGACACGGATCGATGCACCAACTAAAATCCGCATCCACAAAAAAAAAGGATTAGCCCATTCCCACTAATCCACTATCTATGGAGAGAGAGGGGGATTGAAAAACTTTATATTCCAGTATTTTCATACACAAAAGAGCATCTTCGTAATTTGGGAATGAGTACGGGAAAGTCCTGCATATCCGTCCTTTCCTCTGTGAGGTGTACGATGTGATGAATGCCGGCTATGATGAATGATGTTCATTTGTTGCGATGAATGTTCGCGATGATGCCCAAGTAAGCTTCTTCTCTTTCTTTTTCTCCCCCTTCTCAAACTCCTCTAATTTCTTCCTTCCACCCTGATTCATTATCTTTTCGTTTAGATTTTCATTTATATTAATCCTGATTAGTTCATTTTAAAACATTCATCATATTATTTGGGGAAAACTGTCAAATAGGTTCTCGAACTTTCATAAATAAGTCAATTAAGTTCTTCTATAGTAGACTTTGTCCGGTCGTCGCGATTTGGAGCGGTTCCAGATGAAATTTTTTGATGAAATTTTTTGAGTATTCATCAAGTCTAGTTTACTCATACCAAATTTCATCTAAAAATTTAATTGGGAGCGTATTCAAATTAATTCGAGAACGCAAAAATGTGCAGTTATCTTCAAGAATTAATTTGAATGTGTTCCCGATTGAATTTTTAGCTGAAATTTGGTATGAGTAAACTAGACTTGGTGAATAAGATTTTCAAAAAAATCATCAAAAAAATTCTACCGGAAACTGCCCCAAATTGCGACGGCCAGACAGAATCTCTTATAGAAGGACTTAATTGACCTTTTTATGAAAGTTCGAGGACCTATTTCACAGTTATCCCTATTATTTGTCTTTTGTCTCATCAATTGAACTTGAAATTGTTATTGAACACTGATTTATTGAACAAAATTTTTTGCTTTACAACTTCATTAAATTTTTAGAAAACGTATGACATTTTCAGAGTAAAAACGACACCCTCGACAATTTCAAACAAACATGACACTTTCTAAAAGATGAAAAAAGTAGGAACGATGAAAAAAGTAGGAACGAATGTCATATTGTTGAGAACAACATGGCATTTTTTATCTTGTCATATTTTGACATTCACAAGCATTAATATAACATTATTAATATCTTCATTGATATTTTTTCCAAACATGACAGGGATTCCACCTATTTAGGAGAGAATATAATTTTACTAATTTGAAATATCACATTGTTGAATTCTTATTTAGAACGATTTGTGAAACTTAAATAAGAAGTAAATGAATATATTAAATTACTCCCTTACCACAATATTGGCATTGTTATGAGTCACTTGTGACTACTTGACTGGTGACTATGTCACAGCATAGCACGCTGCTCTAAAACTCGAGTGTGAATTGGAGCATCTCTAATGCCAAGAGGGAGAGCACGCTACATACTTGATATGGAAGAGATAAAAATAAAGATGGGTATATTCTAAAAAATATGAATTAATAAAATACGAGAAATTGCTAAAAACGTTTATGTATTCCAAAAGAGGAATATTATGGTTTTATTGCCTATATAAGAGTAACTATTGTCATGTTTTGGCAGTATCAGACTTTAAACTTGGCAGTATTTTTCAAAGTTGACAGTAATTATGTACGGATAAATTTCATATCATATATTAGTATACTAGTTATAACATATTTTCTATTATCGATGTAAATATATATTCTTTCCTTTTTCTAGTATAGTATTATGGCATAGAGGATTTCTAGGTAGCAGTTACCATATTTGTAATTCCTAGACCTGTATATACATGCTTTCATACGAAAATACAACGGAGGAGTAATCTCTCCCTTTTCCAATTCTTTTGACAATACGTTTCTTGCCCTTATTACACGTTTCTTGCCCTTATTATGGTATCAGAGCCAGTGAACTGATCTCCACCTACGATCTTGAAAATTGACAAAGATGGTGAACCCACAGACGATAGCAGGGCAGAGGGATGATCGGCGGCGAATCTCTGGCACAGAGAATTATCCCAGGAATACTGGCACACAAGCAAACTCAGTAGGCGGATGTCCTGCAGAGGAAATCAAAGAACAGACTGCCGAACCCAAGCAATTTCCTACGCTCTCAGCAGACCAATGGAATTCTTTTATGGAATTTATGAAAAAATTCAAAACAGGTGATAATGTTGAAAAATTAGCAGGTATAAAACGTGTGAATTGGCTTCTTGATACAGGAGCTTCGTATCATATGACGGGAGATAAAAATGTTATGTTTGACATTACTCCCGTGACGTCTATACCGGTGACTCTTCCGAATGGAAACATTACGTGTGCTAGCCATATTGGCCGTGTGGTGATAGGTCCGGGGGTAACTCTGGATAGGGTGCTTCTAGTGCCCAACTTGACGTGTCACTTGATTTCTGTTGGACGGCTTATTGATGATTTACCGTGTCACGTTATTTTTACTAACAAATTTGTGTGATACATGACCTCACTTTGAAGATGCTGATTGGAGTAGGTGAACGTCGTGGTGGGGTCTATTATCTGTGTGGAGCAGAATCTGTACAAGCTTCACATGTGGTTGGTGACACAAGAGATTTATGGCATAGAAGAATGGGTCATCCCTCATCCCGGGTAATACAACTGCTTTCTGTTAATCAAAATAAAGTTGGTGTTCGTAGTGATTTTAATAAAAATTGTGATATATGTGATAGAGCAAAACAGACACGTGAAGTTTTTACTCCTAGTTTAAATCGTGCCTTGCATATATTTGAACTTATTCATTGTGATGTATGGGGTCCGTACCGAGAAGCAAGTACTTGTGGTGCATATTATTTTTTGACTATTGTGGATGATTATTCGCGTGCTGTTTGGGTACATTTGATGGCTGCAAAATCGGAGGTTGCAGTTATTATGAAACGTTTTTTTCGATGGTTAGTACTCAATTTAATACTTCTGTTAAAATTGTGAGAGCTGACAATGGGACAGAATTCTCACCATTGAGGGATTATTTTCTTGATCATGGGATTTTGTTTCAGACTTCGTGTGTTGGGACTCCACAGCAAAATGGTCGCGTTGAACGGAAGCACCGCCATATTTTAAATGTGGCACGGGCCTTACGTTTTGAAGCCAATCTTCCTATTCGGTTTTGGGGGGAGTGCATTTTGCCCGCATGCTATTTGATTAACCGGACACCGTCCGTGATCAATAATGGAAAGACTCCTTTTGAATGTTTGTATGGTAAGGTGCCATCTTATGAACACATTAAAATATTCGGTTGCCTATGTTATGTTCACTCAAAAAGCAGTGACAAATTTGAAACACGTAGTCAAAAATGTGTTTTCTTGGGTTATTCTTATACTCAAAGGGGTTGGAAGGTGTTGGATTTGGAATCGAACAAACAATTTGTGTCTCGGGATGTTCGGTTTGTAGAAAATATTTTCCCATTTCTTGAGAATAATCCTACATGTCCACCAAATGGCCATGATGAAGAGTCTGACATGCAGCACTATAGGAATTACACACATGAGGATGATCTTTTGGATTTTGGTCCTACGGACAGTAACGTGAGAAGGTCTAGCGAGCCAAACCTCTGACATTCTGGACACTGCTGCCACGCGTCCACAGCATGCGGACACTGTACATGTGACTCCGCAAGACACTATGGTTTCTCCACAAACACCTATTGCCATGCCACGTACACCAGCCGACTCCAGTCTTCTTGGATGAGGCTTACGCCGCAAAATACCGTCAGTCAAACTCTGTGATTACGTTCAAACGCATGCAGCACAGACTGACCCCCACGACTTCACTACTTCATCTTTATCTTCAGGTAGTCTCTATCCCTTAACTTGTTATGTAAATTATAATGCTTACTCGGTACACCATCGAGCTTTTCTTGCAGCTATTTCACACGAACATGAACCTGTTTCCTATAAAGATGTCGTTCGTGATCCGCGTTGGCGGGAGGCCATGCGGCGTGAGATTGATGCTTTGGAGTCAAACTGGACATGGACCATGGTTGATCTTCCCATACACAAGAAACCTATTCATTGTAAATGGGTTTACAAAATTAAATATAATAGTAATGGGTCTATTGAACGATTTAAAGCTCGTCTTGTAGTGTGTGGAAATCGACAAGTGGAGGGCATTGATTATCATGAGACTTTTGCTCTTGTTGCAAAAATGACAGCTGTGAGAACTCTCTTGGCCGTAGCGGCATCTAAAAATTGGGAGCTTCATCAAATGGACGTTGTTAATGCTTTCTTACATGGACAATTGGAGGAAGAAGTATATATGTATCCACCCCCTGGTTTCTGTTCCTCTCGGCCCACCCAAGTATGTCGTCTCCAGCGCTCTCTTTATGGGCTTCAACAGGCGCCTAGGTGTTGGTTTTCTCGGCTTAGTACCTCTCTCTTAAACTATGGCTTCACATGTTCTTATGCCGATTATTCATTGTTCACTTTGACCAAAGGGGATGATTTTATTTGCATACTTGTTTATGTTGATGATTTGTTAATCGCTGGCACGAGTTCCTCTCTTATTGCTACACTTAAGACCTATCTTGCTCGGTGTTTTCCTATTAAGGACCTAGGTCGTCTAAAATATTTTCTTGGCCTTGAGGTTGCTTGTAGCCCCAGTGGCATATTTTTATGCCAAAGAAAGTATACTTTGGATCTCCTTGATGAGCTAGGATTATCTGGAAGCAAACCCGCGGAGTTCCCTATGGAGCAGAATCACCGTTTGGCTATCACTCAGAGTCCCCTATTCTCCCAGACTGATCGTTATAGACGTGTCATCGTAAGTTGATTTACTTAACTTTGACACGTCCCGAGTTGTGTTATTGTGTTCATATTCTTGCTCAGTTTATGCAATCGCCACGTACTGAACACTGGGAGGTGGTTCTCCGTGTTCTACGTTATCTTAAGGGAAATCCAGGACATGGTATTTTACTTCGTGCTGGTTGTGATTTACGCCTACAAGGTTATTGTGATTCAGATTGGGCTGCATGTCCACTTAGTCGGCGTTCTCTCACTGGTTATATTGTCTTGTTGGGTGGTTCTCCCATATCTTGGAAGACCAAGAAACAACCCACTGTATCTCGTTCATCAGCTGAAGCTGAATATCGTTCCATGGCTACTGTGGGTTGTGAACTTATTTGGCTTAAGAGTCTCCTCCGCTCACTTGGTGTTTCTCATTCTTGCCCCATGGACGTATTTTGTGATAATCAGGCCGCTCTTCATATCGCCTCTAATCCTGTATTCCATGAACGCACAAAACACATAGAGATTGACTGCCACTTTATTCGTGATCTTATTCAAGACGGTGTTATTGCTACTCGGCACCTTAGTTCTTCCATGCAACTTGCGGACATTTTCACCAAGGCACTTGGCGCTCAACAGTTTCACTTTCTCTTATCCAAGTTGGGCATCCTCACTCCGACCGCTCCAACTTGAGGGGGGGTGTACGGATAAATTTCATATCATATATTAGTATACTAGTTATAACATATTTTCTATTATTGATGTAAATATATATTCTTTCCTTTTTCCTACTATAGTATTATGGCATAGAGGATTTCTAGGTAGCAGTTACCATATTTGTAATTCCTAGACTTGTATATACATGCTTTCATACGGAAATACAACAGAGGAGTAATCTCTCCCCTTTCCAATTCTTTTGACAATACGTTTCTTGCCCTTATTACATGTTTCTTGCCCTTATTAGATTACTCTTATGTAGGGAATAAAAACATGACAATTCTATTTTGGAGTTTAAACATTTTTACTCCTATTTCGAGAATTTTCTCATAAAAAATTTGTCTATGTCTTTCCTTTGTTTTCTACAATTCTAAAATATTCTTTTTGCCCCCATTGTCTACATTTACCCATTACTTGTATAGTATGTAGAAAAAGTTATCAAAACACGAGACAGTAAAAAGGGTTGAAGTATTTATCACACTCTAGTATTTTTGGGATGACCATAGCACTTCAACCTTTCCTATTTGGGATGACCCAAATTTAATTTCCTGCTTTTTTTCTATTTATGGTAAGCTTGTGATGTGAAAGTACCCATTTGCCCTCTACATTACTATAATTTACCTCCTTCACTTTATTGGACGACTACCTCCCTTTACTTTAACAAGGGTATTTTTGAAAATTCAGATTTAAATTTTTCCTTACCTTAAAACCCTGAAGTCAAACTATAAATATTATTGTGTAGGTTTTATTATAAATAATATATAATATATATGTAGAATTTACTAATAACTATGTTATACATTACTCCGTAATACAGCTATTATAAACCATCCCCTACGAAATTATTAATGTATGATTATATTAATATTATCTAAAGAGTAATCTTCTCATACAACCAAACTGGCCGCATACGGCTAAGCTTGTTTGAGATGCTTTCGAGTGAGATTTTTTGATGAAATTTTGTGAACATACTCATCATTAAGTGTGTTTACAAAATTTCAACTTAAAATTCAATCAAAAATTCAATTAAATAAGTTATTGAAAAAACTGTGCAAAAATATGCATAAATAAATTATTGAAAAGACAATTTAACATTAAAAAATGCACGGAGTTGTCGAAAAGCTTGTTCTAAAAAAATATCAGAATTGTCACCAACCACACAGCCATTATGTTCTTGTTTTTGCAAAGAAATGTGAACTTTCCTTGGTTTTATTTTTTCCATTTCGACTAGACACATTTATTAAAATGGTGATATTGTATTCTTGATCTAAAAAAAATATCAGAATTGTCACCAACCACATAATGCTTTCATTTAAACAAATGATACGGAGTTTGGGATATCAAAAAAAGTTAATGAAGAAAACAAAAATGATATCGAGGAAGTACTTGAAAAGTTTTTATGAAATATAGTGATCCAATTGGCATCGGTAACTTGGCTCAACTGCTCAAGTTTGCAGACGTAGCAAAGTTGTCTAATTTCAGACATTTTTATTATTAATGCAAAACAATGTACTTTTTTTTAAATGAAACTGATTATATTATATCAACCAAACTTCTCAAAGTATTTCCACCCATACAACGCCAAACCTCCTTATGAGGCTCCGCATAGCCCAAAGGCCCTCCCACTCTCTGACTAGACATAGAATAGACCACCCCGGAAGGAGCGAGACTATTCACGAACCATGTGAGAGCTTCGAAGCTTTTAATGGCCAAACAAGCCTTATCGCTTCCACCAACACTAACATCCCGAACCAAGCAAGAAAAGCAAAACACCAACCTACCGCTAGAGTTCAAACCAATGAGAATAGCAACACGAGCAAAATAAAAGGAAAAACAGTAAAAATAAATAAAATCTTCATGGCTCTCTTCATGGAACAACAAAATCCATGCTTCAAGCGTCGGCTCCCTAATCCCAGTCACGCAGTTTCTTAGTGGCGGCGGTTCAGGAGGAGGACGAAAAATCCACATACCATCTTCTGCTTCTGCCACCGGAATCTGGAGTGCTCCATACCACATCATCAATCTAGATGCCAAATTTGCCCCTTTCACCGGACCCCAAGCCGCTAGTGTTCCACCCGGATCAAATACAGTTGGTGCAGCTTCCATCTCAATCGCTAACAAAGCCAAAATAACCAAAACAAGCATTTGACAACTAGACCTTGCAATCCTAGCCGGTGCAGGTCCACGGCTGCCTCCGAAATCGTTCCCAATTCCCATGGCTTCTTGCTATCGACTAAATCGCATCGCTGGGATTCTCCTCACTTTGACAACCGCTTCTCCCTTATTGCCCGAAAATCTAGAACGGCCTTTGATCTCCTCTTCTCGTCTGGAGCCGCTGCAGACTTTGCCTCCCCCTCCCCTACGCTCACTACTTCCTCTTCCCCTGTACTCGCCTTTCAGTAATCGGAATCCAGCCGCGGTGAATCCACCGCAGCCGTCCGCCAAAACTAGCCCTAGACACGCTAGGTTTCTGCCGCTTGAGAGAGCCCTCGCCCTAAACTTGCTCCCGCTTTTTGCAAAGCAATGTACTTTATGCCTCTTATAATAATAAAATTCTGTTGATTTATGTTAAATAAAGAGGATTGTTTGACGCTTTCTTGAATTCTTGCCTTCTCAAATTTTCGTCATTCAACTTTAGAAATCCAGACATTTGAAGCTTAGATGATATACTTTTTATACAAGCACAGGGTTCATTCTTGTTTTTTATGTAATCCAGCTTCACCGAATTTAATCTTTCCAAATGGGGGGAATAAGTGAAAGAGTTTTGCTTCATGTACACACCGGGTTACACACTGGTTTACACACCCAAGTCTAATTGTCTGCGTACAGACAATTAGGCTTGGGTTATAGTAAAACGCAGTAGTTGTGATTCCATAAAATGAATTATCTGTGCAACGACAATTCGGGATCACAAACACTTATTAAACCCAAGCGTAATTGTCTTGCATAGACACTTACACTTGAGTGTGTAAGCCGGTGCGTAACCCGATGTGTACACGAAGCAAAACTCTAAGTCAAAATATCAGAGCCATTCACCCCGAGTCCAGACTCCAGACTAGGAAATAAAAGTCATTGTTTTTATTTTTAAAGCTCTAAGACTCTAAACTTCAAATTACCAAATCATTAACCAATATTATACCCCGGGATCGGAGTTGTTACTGTCTTCAACAAATTACTTATGTATTTATGACATGCTTTATTTTTTCAGACAGAACCCAACATCGAATTGATGTTTGATTACAAAGAATAGACTAGCTCGGTAGCTCTCTTCAATAATCACTACTAACCTTTAAAGTTATAATCCGTTCACAGTAATACTAAAAACAAAAAATAACTAGAAGCAAATTGCTGCATTCATTGCTCGAGTGTTTAGTAACCCCACATATGTTAATTCATCGAAGTATGTCACAATTCACAAATGAAATCTCCCCCTTGGCTACATATGTTGACATGCCTTCAGCTAGCAGGCCTTTGACTAATCAAAATAAATAATAAATAATAATACAAAATAGCCCAAAGACCCACAGCAACAAAATTTTCTGCAGAGAACGAAGTCTGCTGTGGAGCTAATCAAATAGATACAGAGAACTAAAGCAATGAGGGCCAGATTTTTTTCAAGGTTAGTGACTTACGACTCTATCAGAATCACATCTGGTGATAAGATGAAGCGGACTAAGTAGTAGTGGGATCAAATATTGCCTTTTCACGCCAAATGCCATCTATGTTGGACTGCCACAAGCGGACCTGGCCATCACTCCCAGTAGTAGCAAGTGTCATTCCACTCATGTCCCAATCCATCTCCCAAACCTATAAAGAGAGGGCACATGATGGAGACAGATGGGTAACAATATCCCCTTCAGGAATCAATGAGAGTGGACCTCTAACAAAGCAGAGTCAAAATGTAGACCTACCTCATTATCACAGGAAGACGAAAGCAATGCAACCTTCTCAGTCGCAAGCCTCCCATTGGGGTCAGGTTCTGATCCAACATGCCATATTGCAATCCCTTTGTAAGTAGAGACAGCTATTACTTCATATGGCCTACAACATGATATCAGTTAACTAAGTTTGCGTTTGGCGAACCTAAAAGTATCATTATTGGGGTCATAACACCCATCAGATCCTAAAGGAGTTTTTTGGGGTCCACTGGAGTCAGTGCTACCTTCCGATGTTTGGGGCCCATGCGATTGCTAAAACCTGGTCACCCTTGTCTGATGGCAAGGCTAATTCTGCAACTGGAAGCCATCTCTGATGAGGCTCATCAAATTCCCAAACCTGCAAAAGAGTGTAAAGAGACAACCTTGTTACACTTTGCTACTAATAAATGTCCAGTAAATTGCAGCTCTCCTTTGTGTCTCCGTCTATGCAATCATATGCTCTCTCTGTCCCTCAAAACTTAGACATCCCATACTTTTTTGGTCAATGGTGTCAAATTTTGACCAATGGCATAGATTATAATATGAATATGATATGACAATGTTCTTTATTGAAACTACTCTCCTATATGTATAAAACTTATACAACAACATTCAAACCTTAGTCCTAAAAGATTTTGGGGTCGGCTAACACAAAAATATAAAACTTATAACTCACAAAAATATATTAATCAAAATTATTGGCCAAAGTTTACAACCATTGGCAAAGAAAGTCAAAGATGACAAAGTAAGTGACGGAGGAAGTAGCATTTTGCAAGCAAAATAAAGTTGTACGTGTGTCTATATGATACAAAAATGTCTGCCAGATTAGGTCAAGCGCCCATTAATCACTGAATGGGATAAAACATTTTACCAAGGGGTAAAATACATTATAGTTCAAAAAATAATACTCCGTATAAAATAGTAATCAGGTGAAAAACACGGAACATACCAACATACATGTGTAAATGAAATATTGCATAAACTATAGACAAATAGCAGTACTAATTCTAAAGCAAACAAGGAAGTTTGTTTGGCAGAAGCTATGAACAAAAGCAGCAGAACACGTCGCAGCAGAACACGTCGTTGTGCAAAACAAAGTCAGTGACTAAGTAAAAAAGCCTAACAGGTTAAATACTCAATCTATGAAAGAAACCAAGAACAATATGTTTTAAGTACCTTGGAGGAATTCAACTGTGGGGTGTCAGAATTAAATCCCAGAACAAAACTTGACGGTTGGGTTTCACCCTTTGAAGGGTTCCAAGCAATTGAGGCAGAGAGGCATAAAATCTTCCCAATTTTTGATA